TATATACATATATATATATATATATACATATATATATATATATATAACAAAATTATGATGGAGCATATTGACTAATATTAGTAGTTGTGAAATGATCATAAAATTTTCAATTAAAATCAAAATAAAACAAGATACATATAACATTAATTTCAATAGTAGTGGTTATGAAAATGTTCACAAAGATATTCAAAGTGTTACCATGAAATATACTTTTTGTAGAGATATCGTTCTAATGAGTGAGATGTATGTTAAAATAAATGAAAAGTTGCAATAATGTTTTAGAAAATAGTTAATTCTATGGATGTGAAGACATGGCATCAATATAAGGCCACGCGACCGAGCTAAAATAAATCTTATCGGATAACGAAAAAGATAAAGAAAACAATGCAAAATAATGGCTATATTCTACATATAAATATGCATATGCCGGACACTATTAAAGGGAAATTTACATACCTAGCGTACGATCCTTCTGTAATTGCATATCTCATGCCTAAACTTTCATATTTACACACATAACATTTTGGCACTTTAAATGGGTGCATGAAAAGACGTGCTTCTCCTCTAAAAAGTGGCAATAATGCTATTTTTCAGTTGATATTAATGATTTCAATGCTTTGTAAATATGAAAGTTAGGTGTGAGACATGTAAATAAATAAGAATTGTGTGCTATGTATTTAAATGCCCCAGTATTAAACTTCACTTCAGGACTTACTGCTTTGCCAGCACAGGTCCAGACTTCATACAGCCAATATAGGCACGAGGTTTTGATCTGTGGTGCGCTAGATTAGAAGCAAGAACACCTGTTTTGCAGAAATGACATTTGAATACGTGATAAGATATAGACAATTAAATAAAAATAGATGATGCAGCTTGTTGAAATTTAAGGAAACCTACCAAGATTTACATGCACATCATCATCTACTTTGATGTAAAAATCAGCATCCCATAGAGTCACAGCCATGGAGAAGTATATTTGAGTTTTTGAAGACAACTCATGATAACCTTCAACATGATTCTGTAGAAGAAAATTTTTTTATTTTCTAATTATTAAGTTTGTTTTTTATAAAAATCTGATAGAAAGAAAGCTAAACACATTTTAGATGATAGTTTCCACATTTAACTAATAAAGCACACCAGTCTAAGGAAATCCTGATGCTGCACTTCTTCCGCTTCCATAGCACGCTCTAAAACACCAACAGGAGTTGAGCTAAAACATGAGAAAACTCTCAAACATCAGTCAAAATGCATGACTAAACATGTATAATTTCATAGTTTTTGCATTTCATTTACATGCATACCAATCTTCAACGGCAAATCAAAAATACCATCATCGCTACCTTTCTAAAAGTGAAATACACCTTTTCATCCATAGGGTTTATGACACCAAAGTGTTTTAAGTGTAAATATAAAACTTTGGGTTTAGATATGTAAATACATAAGATTTGTATGGTATGTATGCAAATTTTCTGAACTAATTTTGTCTAATATTTAAGTACCTGCGGCCAATAACAAAGCGAATTACAATTCCTTTCTCTTGCTCCATTCTTCTAAGATTTTGAACTAATTGAAAGAATCTGAATCAAACCATCCATTCCATCTGGAAAACAGAAGTTTGAAGAATTAAGATATCTAAGTACCTTGAGGCATCCAAGTATTTCTAATTGAATCTCTGCGTTTTCTACTGCTAAATGCGGTCATAATTCCCATGACAAAGAAGACTTTGCGACGACGTATTAGTGATTCTGTTTGAGATCCCATAGTTTTCTCAAACGTCTGTGCAGCTCTAGCAGCTGCCAGTTGCATCTCTAGATCAGAAATTGTTTTATCCAAAGTCCTGGACCAATGATCATAATAGTTTGATTTGATATTCAAAATGTTTATCATATTAATAATAAACTATTGGAGGGGGAGAAAAAAAAACTAGAATATATATTAAAAAAATGTGTAGAAGAGTAAATGTCAAAATAGTCCCCTAACCACTTAAATGGGGTCATTTTAGTCTCAAAATCTATAAAAGTGTAAGATTAATCCCTAGAATCTTTTAATATGTGCTAAAATAGAATCCTGTAAAAATTATTTTAGCCCAATTAAAAGAGTTTGGAGACACAATTGACACTTTATAGATCTGGGACTAAAATGACTCCCACAAAGAGTCAGGGGACCATTTTGACAATTTTAAGGAATAAGAGATTAAAATTATATAAAAACTCATTGAATTGTTAAAGAGAGTTACATGATTATATCATGAGTATGTGATACTTGGCCAAGAATATCCCCAGGGATTGAAGTTTCCTGAAAACCGAGAAGCCGATTTAGGATGAGAAAGCTGTTAAAAGTAGCCAACAAGAATGCTCTAAGCTGGTTGAGAGCTTCACAAGGATCTTGCCTTTCTTTCACAATGTACAGATCTTTCCAGATATCTCCCTTTATAAACTCCCTTTGGCGATGCCTCGTTTCCACCAGCGAGCTCAGGAAAGGTCCATATCCTTCAAAGAAAGTAGAACTAGTTCAAAATAATCAGAAAAAAAAAATTAATTTGAAAAGGATATTCTTATGAATTCCTAGATTTTTGAAGAATTGATCAACTTTTGTATTTTATAAGGGAAATAGCTAAAATGTAGAAAGGTTAACATTCGAATTTCAGTGAAACGTTATATCCTTGATTTAGAAAAAATAATTTGAACTATCAAACAAATCTCTACATAGAAAGCAAGATCTTACAAAATTTATTAGGAGATTCCAGGACAGAATTTAATCATACATCAAAGAGTAGTAGTTATGAATGTATAGCTTAAGAGTGGAATTTCTAAGAAAATATGAGAAATATAAGAAATATATGAGAAATATAAGAAATTCTGTAGTTTAAGTAGGTGGAATTTCTAAGAAAATATGAGAAATATAATTAAACATTCAAGATAGATTGTTAAGGGAGGCAAATTGCAATTTAAATTTGATAAATACTTGATGTAAGATAAAATGCATAATTCCACTAGGAAAATTGTGATGGATGTTTTAGGAGAGTCTATAAATTGATCATATACTCATAAGGAGATTTGATGGTGGAGTGAGGAAGCATGAAAGGAGTTTGATATGATTTGGCATGATTGTTCACATAAATTAGTGCACACATATTTTATTACAATAAAATCAAAAATTCAACACGAATACAAAGATGAGCACCTACAATTCAAGAGATAGGTGATCTCTCCCAATTCCTACAATTCGAGAGGTAGAAACTCTAAACCTAAAACTCACAAAAATAATCTCAATCCTAAGACTCACAACAATGATCTCATGAATAACTAACCCTATTAGCCCTATTTATAACAAATAAAAATAAATGACTAGTTGCCCTTAGGCTCACAAAAAACTAAATTTCCCATAGAGACCGGTATAACAATACTCCCCTCCCAAAAAGACGCCTTATCCTCCAGATGAGAGAAAAAGAAACTGTTGTTGGATCACGTCAAGTGGTTCCCGCTCATAAACGAGCTTGTTGGTTTTCGCCGTCAAACACTGGCACACTCTTCATGACCATCTCCAACTTCTCAAAAGTTTGGGTCTTCACCTGAATTGAAAGTTATCCTTCAATTCCTTCATCCACAATCACCCATTTGAATTATAATCCTTCACAAACTTCAGTAGTATCCCATAGGTTTTATAAATCTTCTCAACCCCTTTCAAATTTAAGGTACTGACCCCCATCTACCACCAGGGCCTTGCACAAACTAGGATCACCATTAAGTACAACCGCTTTATCTCTCTCTTGAAACTCCATGATCAAAAGTTTTCAATGCATCTTTAGTCTGCCCAATCAACTGTAGCCACTTCATCCCCATAATCACATTCGTGCTTCCTAAGTCCAAGGAAAGGAAGTCTTCCGTCACCTATAAGCTCTACAGTGTCAATACTAATCCCTTGCAAATTCCCCAGCTTTTTTCCACCTTTTTTTATCCCCATCATAATCCCAAAGCTTCTCATATCTACAACTTCAACCCTAGTTAGTTCACGGCCTGACTTGAAATGAAATTGTGAGTGACCCCACTATCCACCAACACTCCTATCAACTGCTCCCTGATCTGTCCCCTCACGTTCATGAAGTGATTTGGAGTAAACCCTATCATTGAGTTGAGGGACACCTCCGCAAAATCCAAGTACAAGTGTTCCTCTCCCTCCACTGTTTCTTCCTCTGACTCCTCACCATTTGATTCCCCCTCACAAACTAACAAGATCTGGAGTGTGATATTTGCATAGTTGGTCTGGGGAATACTTCTCATCACGTTAGAAACATGATCCATTTGCTCTCGTCTTGCACCTCTATCTCTGTGAGGCTCCTGAAGTTGACCCCATAATGGGTACCCGTACTCTTCTCTTTCAGCGCCTCCTGTTAAAATGAGATCGTTTGGGTCCTAGGCATAATGGGCATTAAGATACTCTTATGGAATCCTCGTGTGGTGTCACTTTTGTTGCTCTTCTTCATCTTATTCTTATCTTCCACCATCTAGGCAAGCTTCATTGTCTCCCTCAGTCCTCGCAGACTCAATAGTCAAAGTGTTGCCCGTATGTCGAGCTTTAGGTCCTTCATGAAGTTCCCCTTTAATCGTGCTTCAAATATCTTTGAGTAGGTCTCCTTCCCAAATGACTCATAAATTTTCCAACAAGCAATCCTTAAATTCCTCCCAATAACGGATCAAGTATCTATCCTCCCTCCATCAAAACTATGCTAGGGCTTTTCTCTTCAAACATAACCCTTACGCCATGAGCTTCTCCTTCCCATTTTCCCCATTCATCTACCACATTCACCACTAAGCATCTCTCCACCCAATACACCCACCCATGCGTGTCTTCTCTCTCGAAGTGTTACATCTTCAACTTTCTAACCTTAACATCACCACCCCAACCTCCTCTCCCTTTGGTGTTTCCCCCCATGTATCTATGGGCAAAACACCCTCTTTCGATCAATCACAAACCATTTTTAGTTTCTCTCCTTACTTTTTCGTGCTCCTCCCAACCTTTTGCATAACCACTCCATTCAGCTCAGCCTCCTCCAGCAGAAATATCTAATCCACCCCCCATCAAAGTCCTATGTGGGAGTTCTTGATCGTGGATGTTTTCCTCCTATTCTTCACATTTGATTTCCTTTTCTTTCAATCAGGACACCTATTCTCTAGTCAACCCTTGCTTAGGGTTTACAAGTTGAGCCATCGGAGGGGTCTTGGATTGCATTTCAATAAGTTTTATTATCATCTCCTTCATGTTATCAATTGAGTTGTCATGGTGAAAAACCTCTCCATTATCTTGGATTTAAGAAGCCCTACTTATTCCTTCAAATCTCTCCTCAAAAGCATTCACTTTCCTTATTGACATTTCTCACAATTTTTGATCAAGAAGGAACTCTTGTACGTTGAAATCCCGTTGACGACTTCCCAGGTGTTTGGCGTGGTTCGGTCACGACAGAGACAATGACAGAGGTGCATGTATGCCACGATTCGATGCAACTGTACCCATCTAGTCGTTTTCTTCCCAGTAAATTGTGATTCCATGCGTTTCTTCCCAGTTACCCCAATTGCAACTGGCTCGCGATATTAAGTCAGGCAGGCATTGCCAGCATCGATCCACCCTATACTGCGTCGCGATCTTGTTGTCTCTTCCCAACTAGCTCTTCTTGTGAATGTTTGCAAGATACACAAACTCATTGAAGACTTATGATGCCCAAAATTGTTGTAAAGCAATCGATCAATCACACTAATATACATGTTGATCAAGTAATATATAGATAAAGAGTATGTGTATCGATCGCATAAAAAAAATTATCAAAATAGTTATAATAGGGTAAGTTTAGGTCACTAAACCGCTACGCCTAGTTTGAAAGTTCAGTTTGCAAATATGAAAGGTTTAAAAATCCTACTACAGAAAGTGGAAAACTAAAATGGATTTTAATGAAGCTTTTAGAAGATGAAAGATTCCTACACATGTAATATTTTTCTCATGAAATCTCATGTTATTATTGACAACCAGGGCACAATCCTCTTTAGTTTATATCTAGGTCATATAAAGATTTAGAAACTATACTATAGTTAGGAGGAACTTAACCACACATCATTTCCTAAGATTCCTCGAATCTCTTATATAAGTTGCACTTTTCTAATGACAATATGTTTATTCCACCAAGCTATTATGTGTAACTTACTTTTCTTCTAGGCGATGGCTAGAAATTATAGATCACAAAGAATTTTAGCATTCTACAGCTCAAATTTAAATAAAATTAAGACTGAAAAATTAACAAGTCAACATATGAAATTCAAGCATAAAAAAACATCCAAAAATGAATTCCATAGGATAAAATATCGAGAAAACCAATTCTTATATTATAGAAGTATGAAAACGAGATTAACTACTATGCATGAGAAAAGCATGAAAAATTATTATCGCGGGCATGAAAATAAAAACAATGCAAGAGATCAAAAAACTTAAACCAAAGCAAATTGGTTTTTGCAATACTCCATGATCATCTACATTCGATGCAAACTTCCCGTAGATCTCCCTCATACAAATGCACTCAATCTCTTCTCACAACTTCTACAAACTCTCAATAGACAATAACCTTAGGAATATTCTCTAAGGGAAAACAAATGGAGAAGCCCCTTAGTTTTCAAGACTCCCTAAGCCTTCGATGTCCCAAAAGTGCCCTAATTAACCCATGAAATTTCCTTATATAAGCTCTTGCCAAAATTGCAAGCCAAAGTCTGTCGTAATTATGTTGGACCAACAATAAGGGCGACGTAGTTATGCCGCGTAATGGCATAATTATGTCGAATCAACATTCTTGTTTGTTTCGTGTTTTGGCTCTGCAATGCGTCAACTCTTGTAACCTGCAAAATAACATAAAATAATCTTCTACAAGCATGAAATCATGATAAATAAGATAAAAAATATGGTGTTTAAAATAAAAAAAATCACGTAAATTTACATCGTATCAAATCCCCTAAACAAACTTATTACTTACTCTCAAGTAATTGCATATCTAATTGAGACTCAATTATGTTCATAGTTCTTACATGGAACTTCCTGATTCTCCAACAAGATGATATAAGTTTAATGAAAGAAGTACAAATATCATTTCAAGGTTGAATTATAATTAATCTCTAACAACATAGCCCTTTCTTTTAATTCTACTTCTTCTGAGCCTAAATATATCTCAAAACTCTTAATATAGTGTGATTGAAATATTTTTGTTTTTCAAAGATATTTTTAAATAAATTAATAATCACCAAGCCAACGAAAATCATTTAACTTTTTACTGAATATAATATCATAAAAATTTTATTAAGAGAGCTTTTAAATCTTATTAATTAGGAAAGACTTGGACATCAATTTTTTTATACTCACCTCAACCTTCTTATCAGGAAGACTACTTTATTTTTTTTTTTTGGGATCTGGCCTTTCAAGATTTTTTTATTTTCTTTTTTTTTAGCCCATTCAACTA